AGGCAATACTTATATTAGTTGGTAAAACAATTCAAAGTGTATGAATGTGTAACTCATTACTTTATTAAAATGAAGATTTGTGGAAATTGTACTGGTTTTTATAAATGTATTCATGAGACGATTTAAGCTAAATTGCAATTAAAAACCTGAAATCAATGGACAGTTGTTTTGTCCCACGTGGATGATCACTATTGAATAGTCTCATACTAAGATGAATCGGCCGTAAAGTGCTTTCAGGTTTTCAATGGTGGTCTAGCTTAGATTCGTTCATGAATTCAATTACTAAAAATAAAATTTTAATCTTTTAATCAATGATTTAAGAGATGTTCCACTTATTGAAGTCCCAAAAGCTAAATAATACTGATATTCATTAGTTGAAAGCTAAAGCCTTGAACATGATACTGTACACCTTACTGAACTGTATTTATTCTGGCAATAAGATCAGTAGTGAGTATATATAAACTTTGAAAATTGGTATTTCCTACTTACTTACTTACTTACTTCCGCCCGTTACTCCTCGTGAAGGAGCATAGTGGTATTTCCTAGCTTCGATAGTAATATAGTGGTTAATGAGGCTTATTTATAATCTTGAATAAGTTGACGTTACTCGTGAGATTGAGATATGTACAAGTCAGTATCCTAGATCAAAACTTATATATATATATGCTTTACTAGGGGCAAAGATAATATTTTGTTGCTTAGAGGTGTTCATTAAACCTTTCATATAGTGCTAAGTAAACGTTTATCAATCATTTTAAAATCAGAATAACAAATGAACTGATCTTTCATTCTTAAATTGTACCTATGACCATTGTTAATATACATCTCTTTATTTAAATATCAAACCTAAACGAAATTTTTGAAAATTTCAATTACTTTGAAATAACTAAATTTTATAATAACCTCTTTCATGTTATGTATTAGATTATATCTTCGTAAAGTTGAATTTATGAGTTCATGTAAAAAAGTTCATCATCATGAAGTCACTTATTTATAGTCTTAGCCATGTTGGTAGATGTAGACTACTTGGTTGAGGTCCACCTGTCTATCGTGTCTATCAATGGTTGGAGACTCTGAGTGACATTATTCAGAATCGATCACAATGGTGTAGGTGTATACACTCTTTGTCTTCCCTTAAACTATGAGATTACAATTGCCTCATACCTTTCTTTCTGCCAACTAATTCTTTCTTCCTGTACTATATCCTTGCATGCAATCATTCTTTTATGCACTACTACCATTGAAGTAGCTACTTCTATGAACATGGTGTTCATCTTGATGTGCTAATGAGTTGTGACAATTCTGACTGATGAATATATGTGCCTGATCCTATGTTGTAGATGACTGACTGACTGACTGACTGGATTCATCATTAAAAACGTGGAAGCACTGGATGGCCATTTTGTCCTAGTATAGTGATCTAGCTTAGATCGGCTCATGAATTCAACTATTAAAATCTGTACAATCTCCACATACCTCTATTCTAATAATAAGTTTTGCAAAGCACAAATTTAACAGGAACACTGAAAGCATGACTCATAGAACTTAACTAACATTGAAATTTCTAATTTTATTTCAGCCATTACTATTCGATAATAGATCATTTTAATACTTACATCTAAATCTTTAGTTTCCATGTTGATTAATACGTGATATTAGTTTATAAACAGTCATAATTACTAATACTGGGGATTTTTATTTATTGATTAATGATTTGCAAATTATATATACATTTATGCATATATATAATATACAATTCAAAGTGTGCTATATGTGACATTTGTAAAAAAACTAAAAACAGTTTCTTGTTTGACAAAAGAAGCGGGTGACATAATTTAAAAAAAAATGAAATGTTTTTAAATTCACTTAATGTTGTTTACTTGTATCTTCCCATTGTTATTCATAACTGCAAATGATCAGTCTCTTATTGGCATATGCGCATCCTGTGCCAATCGCCTCGATGTAGCTTTAGTTCACAAGCATTATATACCAAGATCGATAGTGGCTAGCAGTGGCATCCAGTACGTGCGTTTCGTCTTATTTGAGACTCATCCCAAAGTTCCAGAGTGAACATCATCTCTGAGATGCAAATACATCCAGCTGACGAGTCCCAAATAGAATGAAACGTTAGTCCTCAATCCCACTGTTAGCCGCTATCCATCTTGTAAATATTTTCATCTTCAAAACAAAATTTTCATAAAATCTTTAAACGTATATTTAACTGATTAAATAGAATGCTTAGTCTATTAGTACAGTCCATATTTTGTCTTTCTTGTTGTATGGAAACGAATCATTTTGTGGTAAAAAAAAACAAGCAAACAAACAATTATACATTCTACATATGATAATTAACAGCTGTTGATAGGATTTGTGAAAATTTAAACTAAATGAGAAAAGAGAACAAGAGTGAACGTCATTTGATGTCTTAATCGTAATATGAGATAATACTCAGTTTTAGTAATAATAATAATAATAATAATAGGAAAAAAATGAACGGTAACTAACTATTCACAAGTATCAGCTAACGAGTCCCGAATAAGATGAAACGCACGTCGAGGATTCCACTATTAGTCACCATCCATCTGTACTTGTAATCTTTTGTGTTCCATTTTTCCACCCTAATGATTGGTTTGGATATAATTGTATTTTTCTAATACTATGTGTATCGTTGTTGTGTTAGTCATCAACTCAAATAATGTAGTCCGAGTCAGGAATAAATCGGACGGTGTTTCAGTTGGTTCACGTTCTGCCTCTCACTTGTCAACCAATCAGATGTTAGGATAGTTTATGTCTCTTTGGCCTCAAGGCCATTTAATCACTACTTTGACTATTGCATTATTAGACTGAAGGTTAGAACTAGGTAGTCTATTGTGTTAAGACTTGACGCTAGATTAACTAAAATAAGTATGGAAAGAGGAAAGTCAAGAATAAAGTGAAGTTTTTCAAATGTGTCGCACTACAATGAAGGAAAAACAATTTAATATTACTAGTACTGATTCTAAGTAATTTTGAAAATTAGTAGAACATTTCAATTAACAAAATATATAACAAGAACTGGAATTAAAAATATAAATAATTGGTTGGTAATTAGGTGGTATATAAGTCAGATGCCTGATGTGAGATGTGAAGGTTTTGCGTTCGATTCGTGGTGAGATCATGAATATAAAATAGCTGGACTTTTGAAATGTATTTAGGATTAAGAAATATAAAATTACTTTCAGAATAGGGGTTTGTTGAATTCATGGATACACACTTGAGGAGTTCCATACTAGGACGATACGGCCGTTCCGTGATTCCAGATTTTCCAGATTAGTCTAGAGTAAATCGACTCATGAATTCAACCATTAATTTAGTACAACCTCCCCATCCTTATAAGAATCAATATACGCTCACTGGTGACTGGTTTCAGGATGTATTTCCTAGAGTTCTAGTGAAAAGCAGTGACTAGTAGTTACTCACCGAAGACAATGGTAGACGGTGGCGCAACACTGTGGATTGGTTGAAGTTGAATGTCAATTCAGTGATGTACAAGTTAAGCGTTCGTGCACAAGATCGAAGGTCCTGGGTTCGAACCCCGAGACATGGGATCGTGAATAAACACTTATGAGAAGTCCTATACTATAATAAAACAGCTTTCTAACGATTCAAGGTCTTCTATTATGGTCTAGCATAAATGGAATTGATAAATTCAACCATAAAATTATTTATTGTTTTGTTAACATATTGCCTAGTTATTTAATACACTATTTATAAATTAATAAACCATTTGAAAATTGTTTAGAAAATGTAAAGTTGAGTTTTATAATTGTATGAAATCATCATCATCATCGCCATGATTATAATAATAACAATAATAATAATAATAATGAATATAGCACTGTTGTAAGTCAAATCATTCCCTGTACATATATGTTTTCTTTTTTTAGGAAACATTCTTGTTTTATCCTTAACTATTTTCACATCTGACAAATCATTTTACTTAGCAGGTGTAAATTTTAACATAATAATAATAATGCATTTGTAAGATTGGACTTTTGATCTGAGTTAATATACTAGGTTAATGGTAGTTTGTAAACTTCAGTGACTAAATATACTGAACGTATATATATATATATATATATATATATATATATATATATATATACATGGTTATATTTACATGATGCACACTATTTAACAAAACAACAACAGTGTAGTAGGTGACATTAATTGAGAATTTAAAGTTTGCTTTTTGGTTTTTATTATACATTGGTTAGTAATGGATATATATATATGTTTTTATTTGTATATGAATAAATACATTGAAAGGGAGTAACTATTCGGACAATATATGATTGGTTTGATTTTAATAGAAATGTGTAGTTACATTTAAAGCAAAAAAACATAATTCTGTGTTCTATTACTGATATTTTACTATTTTTGTATCTGTGCAATATGTAGATCTAGTTTGTTAATATGTATAATTTCGAGTGTGTACAGATTTTTCTGTATGTTATTGTATATCAATTATAGGTAATGTGTATATATAAGTGCATAGATACAATAGGCACAATTCAAGACCTACAAATGTTGGATCAAATTAATATATATATACATCCACATGTTACTATTGAAAACAATAGTAATAATAATAATAAAAACAATAATAAATGTAGTAACCATATCCTATGATTGGTAAACTAGATTTCGGATCAGTCGAATATATATAGATATAGATATTTGTGTGTTTACGTAATCTATAAATGAATATACATATGTGCTTAAAATTTAACAAATTACCCCTGTTATTATTTTTTTTAAAAAAACGTTAACTGAAATATTGTTATTATTAGAGATTACTTGAAATATCTTTCATCATCATTGTTACCATCATCATCATCAGCAGCAGCAGCAGTTAAATATATTGTTAACACAATAATAATAATAAACTTAATGCGGCAAACTAAATTGTTAATGGACTTTAAGCAAACCAAATAATTAACCTTTTAACTTAAGACATAATGAATTTATCAAGTATAAATGTTACTCATTCAATAGAATCTTTATCTTCATCAAGTTCGCCAGAATTATTAAATACTAATACAATGTTAACAACTAATAATTATACTATAAATTCAAATCTACCATCAATCATTCAAACAAATACTAAATTAAATGGTAATGAATTGAAATTAAACTCTAATCTATATCATCCACCACCACCACCTCCTCCACCTCAACCCCCTCAACCTCCTCCTTCTCATCAACATCATCATCATCCACAACAACAACAACATCATTGTCATTCGAATTATCCACAAGAAAATCATGAAGTAACATCATCATCGTCGTCACCATCATCTACATCAACATCTAATGGGATAATATCAATGAATAATTTAACTAATTCATTATTATATCCATTTTCATCAAATCTATTATTACAAGAATCATTTATTCATTTAATTTATTCAACATGTTTAAGTATATTTGATAAAAGATTAAATGATGAATTAAATAAATTTAATGAAAAATATGAATTATTATTAAATGAATATAATGAAACAAAATATCGTTTAAATAAATTAGAAAATATTATACAATATAATAAAATGAATATTCCAGCATTACCATTACCATTACCATCATCCTCATCATCTTCATTATTGTTACCATCCTCTTCATCCTCATTCTCATCCTCCTCTCCCTCATCATCAGATTATTTATTAACTTCATTGAATTCATTGAAATCACAACAGTTCAATGAATCAATCACTGATAATAATGGTCATATGATCAATACATTAAAAGAGATTGATACAAAATGGTTAATGAACTGGAAAAATAATGAAGATTATTTGAGTAGTTTAAATATTTCAAAGAACAATTTATTGGCGCCTATGTTAACAACAACAGCAACAACAAGATTGGATGAACAACAGCAACACCACCACCAACAACAACAATATAATTTAGAAAAACAATCAATACAAAAAATAAAAGATAATCATCATATAGAATTTGATATCAATCATTTATCTAATTCATTTATTGATTCATCAGTGAATGAGAATGAGAATAATCATGTAAATTTTCCAAAAAATTCATTTCATGAATCTAATATAAGTCGATTACATAATCATTTTTATAATTTCAACAATGTAATACCATCATCGTCATCATCATCAGCGTTATCAATACATAATCAACATTTATTATGGAATCAATGGATGGTTAATTGTATAAATTCTGTTAATGGATTATTATCATCATCATCGTCGTCATTATCATCACAATCAATATTGAATAATTATGAAAAAATTAATCATTTCACTATGTCAGATATGGAAACTATAGAAGAAAATCAAGTAAGTTATTAGTGAATATAATGTGTTTTCTTTATTAAAGATGATTTATATATTTATTTTGCAATTACCTATTAATATCATTCAATTATACATTTAATAGGGATCTGTTTTAATCAAATGAATTGTTCAAGTACTATAAACAACTCAATATAAAATGATTCTAATGAGAAAAAACATATAACGGTTGAGATTATGAGACAATTGAAGCTAGACCACTATGGTAAACCTGGAAGCACTGGATGGCCGTTTCGTCCTATTGTAGGACTCCTTGGTAGTACGCATTCACGATACCGCCTCACGAGATTCAAACTCAGAACCTATCGGCTCTGAGCGCGAACGCCTAACCTCTATACAACTGAGCTGGCCTGCAGCCAACGATGTTAATGTCTAGCTTCAACTAATCTACCTAATTGAGCGACTCACCCACCATTGTTTTCAGTGAGTTACTATTATCTCACAACAGATCCGGTTGAACTCCACTTGTCATTGCTTCTCATTAGAACTATAGGAAATACCTCTATATACTATTTCCATAAAATGATTGTTGTAGGATTTGAACTGGTCTTAAACATTTGTAAATAAAAGTGTTTAAAAAATTCATGAAACTAATTCCCTTTTAGAATTTAAATAAAGCCAGAATGAACATGGAGGCAAAATAATATGAATTAATTATCTTTTGTGGTATCTTATCAGCTGTTTACAACAAAAAATGTGTATTGAAATTTTACTTTGAGGTAAGATATAGTGTAAAACAATTGAAATAAGTGGATGTAAAGAACTGGAGTGACTAAGGTCATCAATAATAACTATATATATATATATATATATATATATATATATCGAAAGAAAAAAACATTAGGGGTGGGTGCTGTAATAATTAAATGAAGTTCAGAGACAGATACGATGAATCGTGTAATAACTTAGAGGTAATGAGGGTTTTGTAGAAAATTCATGATGTTAAAAAAAGAAAAAAACTGGTAAGATAGGTTGCATAATAATTAAAAAAGATTTGAAGAGTTCACATAATTCAGCAGAATTGAGTGAGTGGAAATGTATGAGTGAAGGGGAAGGGTGGTTTAAATGTACATAAAATAAGAATTCGATAATGAAAGATAACTATAACAAACCAAACACGAACAAAATAAAACTAATGACCAATAAATTGAATTACCAAGGTAGTAATAGGTTTATTACTGTCTCTTTTAGAATATATAACTTATGTCTCTTTTTGGATACATAGATTAGGTCTGAGTTTTTTTGTAGCAATCGCTTCGGCAAACCAAAGAGAAGCAGTATTTCTTTGTCTGCTAATAATTTTAAAACCATGAGGAATATCAATAGTATTCCCGGTGTCAAATAAATGATGAACTATTGCACTGTTAAGAGCGCTTGCCCCTCACAGTATTTATTTCTTTGGAACATGCTCGGAAATGTGAACATGTATTCTTCATTCGGTACTTTCAATGTATGTGCTATGTTTAAAGAAAAAAGAAAGAAAACGTTTTCAGATGTCTACTTTAATTATTTACAAGTTAACTAGATGTAAGACAGAAATTTTATCTCTTTTGACAGTTTCAATACAACGAATATTTATTAACATTAAATAGAATAAATTATGTATGTAAAATAATTCCCTAATCAGTTACATAATTTTAATAGTTGAGATCATGAGTCAACTGAAGCTAGACCACCATGTAAAACATGGAAGCACTGGACGACCATTTCATCCTACTGAGGGACTCCTCAGCAGTGCGCATACACGACAAATTCGACAAATTAACATTTCTGTCAATTTAAGATTGTAAATCAGAAATTCAATGAATGGAATGTTGCAAACACATGACCATTACCGTACTATTATTAGCTTTATTCAATATTATATTTATGGTATATTATAGAATTCTCAGTATAAAGTAGTTCAACAAGTTTCTGTTTCTTACTTCTTCGTCAATCCTGACGATAAATATTGATTGATCGCCAGTTAAAAGTTTGTCGTCCAATCGATCGAAATCTAAATAATGTAAATTCTTTTCGATGCATGTTGTCATCAACCAGGATAACTCTGATTGTGCCTTTTTGTAACTTGTACAACTAACGGTTGTACACATTTCAGAAACTCACTGGAATAAGTTATGCGATTAATAGTCATAATGATGTATTAGAACAAACAAGAAAATTGATAAATTGTTGAAATATTTAAATAAAAGGAGCAGATAGCCCAGATATTCAAGCAGGCCGCCCTGACTTTTGTCATAAACGATGATCTTCAAGCATAAAAATTTTCTGAATACATTATTATGATAAGTAGAAGTAAAGAAAAAGCATTTTGTAATAATAAATGAATGACATCATTCTAGATTCTTTAAACTATTTCAAGAATCTATAAAAACCTATCTGATGTTAACTTATGGATTAAGACATTATTTGAAAATCTTCAACTTATACTTCCTAATAGTATTCATCTTGGTTTACGCATGATCAAATATTCAAACATACTTAAAATAACCTATTGAAATCTTTTATACATATAAAAGAATTTATTGGCCTTTCGTATACTGTCTATGAAATATATCGAAGACATTCTGGTGATGGTTTAATTTATCACTAATCTGATCATGAATCTAAGTATTTTGATTCAGTATTTGATTAGGTTTTATTTTCAACCGGATGCAAATATACTACTATAACCATCATCAAGAAGGTAAAAGTATTTATAAATAGTTGTCTACACAAGATACTCAGCATCCATTGGTCAGATACCATCAACAACAAACTTCAGAGGGAGAAAACAAACCAACTTCCAACTGAAGAGGAAATTAGGAATAGACGATGGAAATGAATAGGACATATATTACGGAAATCACCAAACTGCATTATGAGGCAAGCCCTAACTTGGAATCCTGAAGGGAAGCGGAAAAGATGAAGGCCAAAGAACACATAGGTGGAGAAATAGAATCAGATATGAAAAGAATGACTAACAACTGGAAAGTGCTGGGAAGGATTGGCCAGGACAGGGTTGGATGGAGAATGCTATTGGGCGGCCTATGCTCCTCCACGAGAAGTAACAGGCAAATATACATACAAAGATTACTTGATCATGCATAATTTTTTCATACGACCATGTTAAGTTATCTATGCTAATGATTGTCTGTGGTTTTCGACCTTAAATAAGTAGTTAAGTGGAGTGTTTATTCTTAAATGATACAGTCAATAATGTCTTGAATAATTAAGAAAATCTGAGATGATTTTTAATAGTACTTTTCCTGACATAATGCATTTTTCTCATAGTAGTCAGCTGACTAGTCTATAAAGTCTCTTTAGACTATACTAGTCTATAATCCTATCAGATCACAGTAATAGAATTATGTATTAAAGATTATTTTTAATATAAAATAATAACACATATAACTACGATTACTAGTTATTTTATTGCATAACGTATTGGCATTTGACTATCAGTGAGAATATCCACCCAGACTGTACAGATATAGCAAGATAAAAGGCTTTAAAGTGGATGGAACTCACAACCAATATTTAGTTGGTAATTATCATTTATACCTGCAATAAAAATCCTATCAAATACTTTATAAATATCCACTTTATGCATATTCACCTTTTTGATGAAGTTCTGTTCTCTGAGCTGGATGGTTTGGTCGTGGAGCTTTCAACGTTCTTCTGAACAACATCATCAGTACAAACTTCAGATAGAAGTGAAGCGTTTAGAATCATGTCTCTTATTTGAACTTTGTGTTTTGAAAGAAGATGGTTAAACTGTCCCTCCTTTATCATCCGAAATAATTTAATAGTGTGTTATTCAAAAAAAGAAACAGATATAGTTTAGAAGAGCAATACTTCTAAATCACTTACATCGTCTTATCACGGCGGTTGTACTACTTCATAATAGTTTATTTTAACTAGAAAATCATCGAAAGTCAGGAAGTACTAATTAGCCATTGCAATCTCATTTTAAACTTTTCAGTAGTCTTAAAAGCAAAGATGGATAGTGGCTAAAAGTGGAATTTAGGACGCGCATTTTGTCTTATTTGTGACTCGTGAGTTGGATGTGTCTGCATCTTTGCTTATAGTGCTTGTAACTTAAGGTAATATCGAGACAGTCCTCACAGTATGCACATATGCCAATAAGAGACTGATCAATTGCAGCCTTAAATAACAATGAGAAGATTCAAGTAAACAATACCAAGTGATTTTCAGTAGTCTGCCTAGACGCTTTCAAATAGAATGTAAATAAAACTTTTGTTAGCAGTAAGTGGTTTATATTTTGTATATTTCGTCAGCTTGTATTATAATACAAACATTAGTGATTGTCATCTATGATAATTCATTAAGCATTAAACATAGTTTTTCATTTGTTATTAACTGCTTAAAACAATATTTGTGGTATCTCACTAAATTTTGCTTTTTACTGAATGGAAAGGTATTCACTAAAAGGTTGAAGTTTTAAGTGTTGTTAAGGTAGGCATAAAAAGCGGATTGTTTGTTAGCTTGATCAATAGAACAATAAAGTGACCCAGGTTAGTATTCAGATTTACTATATATTATTATGAAATAACCAACTTCTAGTCTTAGCCATGTTGGTAGATGTAGACTACTTGGTTGAGGTCCACCTGTCTATCGTGTCTATCAATGGTTGGAGACCCTGAGTGACATTATTCAGAATCGATCACAATGGTGTAGGTGTATACACTCTTTGTCTTCCCTTAAACTATGAGATTACAATTGCCTCATACCTTTCTTTCTGCCAACTAATTCTTTCTTCCTGTACTATATCCTTGCATGCAATCATTCTTTTATGCACTACTACCATTGAAGTAGCTACTTCTATGAACATGGTGTTCATCTTGATGTGCTAATGAGTTGTGACAATTCTGACTGATGAATATATGTGCCTGATCCTATGTTGTAGATGACTGACTGACTAGTGATATTTCGATTATCAATTTACAAAATGTTTTAATTCTATCACAAGTTAATGTAGATAGTTTTAAGTGTTT